ACTATTTGCAGATGATATGATAGTATACATGAGCGACCCCAAAAATTCAACCGGAGAACTCCTTCAGCTGATAAACACCTTCAGCAAAGCGGCAGATTACAAAATCAACTCAAAAAATCAGAAGCCCTCCTGTACACCAAAGACAAAAAGGCTGAGAAAGAAATTAGGGAAACAACACCCTTCACAATAGCCACTAATAACATAAAGTACCTTGGTGTGATTCTAACCAAGCAAGTGAAAGACCTGTTTGAGAAATCGAAGATCTCGGAAGATGGAAAGATCTCCCGTGCTCATGGATTGGTAGGATTAACAATGTGAAAATGGCCATCCTGCCAAAAGCAATCTACAGATTCAATGCAATTCCCATCAATATACCAACACAATTCTTTACAGACCTTGAAAAAAAGAGTCTCAGCTTCATATGGAGAAACAAAAAACCCAGAATCTCGGAAACGATCCTGTACAACAACAGATCATCTGGAGGTATCTCCATCACCGATCTCAAGCTGTACTACAGGGCAACAGTAATAAAAACTGCATGGTATTGGCATAGAAACAGAAAGGAGGATCAATGGAACCGCATAGAAGACCCAGAAATAAACCCACACACCTATGAATATTTGGTATTTGACAAAGAAGCCAAATCCATTCAATGGAAAAAAGACAGTATATTCAACAAATGGTGCTGGTCCAACTGGATGTCTACATGCAGAAAAATGAAAATAGATCCATATTTATCACCCTGCACAAAACTAAAGTCAAAGTGGATCGAGGACCTCAACATAAAACAAGATACTCTAAATCAGTTGGAAATAAAAGTGGGGACCAGCCTAGAACTCATTTGCACAGGAGACAACTTCCTGAACAGAACACCAACAGCACAGGCTCTAAGAGCAACAATCAATAAATGGGGCCTCATCACACTGAAAAGCTTCTGTAAAGCAAAAGACACAGTCATCAAAACAAAACGACTGCCTACAGATTGGGAAAGAATCTTCACCAACCCTTTATCTGACAGAGGGCTAATATCCAGTATATATAAAGAACTAAAGAAGCAGAAAAGCAACAAACCAAGTAATCCCATTAAAAAATGGGGAACGGAGCTAAACAGAGAATTCTCGAAAAAGGAACACCAAATGGCACAGAAACACTTAAAGAAATGCTCAACCTCATTGGCCATTAGGGAAATGCAAATCAAAACAACCCTGAGATTTCACCTTACACCCATCAGAATGGCCAAGATGAAAAACTCAAGTGACAACACATGCTGGAGAGGTTGTGGAGAAAAAGGAACCCTCCTCCATTGCTGGTGGGAATGTAAACTGGTACAACCACTTTGGAAGTCATTCTGGCGCTTTCTCAGACAATTAGGAGTAGTGCTACCTCAAGACCCAGTTATACCACTCCTAGGTATATACCCAAAATTTGCTCAAGTACACAACAAGGACATTTGTTCAACCATGTTTGTAGCAGCTTTATTTTTAATAGCCAGAACTTGGAAACAACCCAGATGTCCATCAACAGAGGAATGGATACAGAAATTGTGGTATTTTTACACAATGGAATACTACTCAGCAATCAAAAAGGAGGAAATCATGAAATTTGCAGGCAAATGGTGGGATCTAGAAAAGATCATTCTGAGTGAAGTATCCCAGAAGGAGAAAGACAAACTTGGTATATACTCGCTTATATAGACCTACAAGATATGATAAACATAAGGAAATCTATACACCTAAAGAAGATAATCAAGAAAGTGGACATGGGTGAAGATGATCAATCCTTATTTAGAAAGACAAATGGGATGCGCATTGAATGTATGACAGGAGTCTACCGCAAAAGGCATCTGAAAGACTCTACCTAGCAGTCTTTCAAAGCAGACACTAAGACTCATAACCAAACCATGGCAGAGTGCAGGGAATCATATGAAAGAAGGGGAGTTAGTATCATATGGAAAGGATAGGAGCTCTACAAGTACCAAATATATCCGGGCACAGGGTCTTTTCTGAGACTGACACTCAACCAAGGACCATCTATGGATATAACCTAGAACTTCTGCTCGGATGTGGCCCGTGGTAGCTCAGTAACCAAGTAGTTTTCCAAAGTAAGGGGAACAAGGACTATTTCTAACAGGATCTCAAGGGCAGGCTCTTTGACCTCCCCCCACCCCCAGGGGAGGAGCAGTTAGGCCACAGAGGAGGACTTTGCAGCCAGCCTTGAAGATACCTGATAAAAACAGGGTCAAATGAAAGATGGAGCATCAAGTTTGGTGGAGGCCAAGTGTCTAGAGTCTTGAGTTTGAGCCCAGGCTTGCTGATGCTTGGGTGCCACATAGCTTTCACCAAGGCACTTGTTCCAAGGCCTCAGTTTGTTCCACTGAAAAGTGAGAGAATTGGATATAGTAATCTCTGGACTGTCATTTGAATATAAGTGTTTAAGATTCTGCAGGACTATTAAGCAGTAGCACAGCTACCAAAAAAGACACAAGCATGTGATCCACATGTATAGAATTGACTGGATAATTTGCTGTTCCAGAAAATGTGTTCTTGCTAATAAAGTTTTCATTGGAGGCCTTAGATGTTTTAAGAAATCATCACAAAGAAAGGATCTGGGCTCATTGGTTTCAAAGGACACTTCGTTTTCATCACTATTTTTAAAAGGTGTTAAATGAGCAGAAGATGGACTATATGATATGATCACTGCATCTGATTTAGTTGTTATTTCTGTTGGTTATGTGGCGCCCAAGCATCAGCAAGCCTGGGCTCAAACTCAAGACTCTAGACACTTGGCCTCCACCAAACTTGACGCTCCATCTTCTTGATATCTAGTCTTAGGAGCATAAATCAAACACATATTTTAAAGTGATCCTGGAAGAAGACAATCAGGATAAACTTGTATACACCCTAAATGTGTTTCAGGTTTCCAGGTCAAAGTCAGGTTATTCAGAGGCACCTATGATATAATACTTCTAAAGCATAGAGACTGCATTCTTGCCAATAACATGTTTTATCATCCATTTAAAGTAATGACAGGCAATTTCCAGTTTGACAAGATTAAAACTGGCTTATACTTTAAAGAATTTACAGTTTCTCAGAACTATAATATAGTTAATAGCGTAACAAAATTTAAGAACATCACAGGTTTTCTAACCTAAAAAAATATTTGTAATGGTTAAATTTCATTGTCAACTTCACTGGAAGTGGAATTACCTTCTGCCGCTACATAGAAGGGTATGTGCAGAAAGGTTTAACGGAGGAGAGAAGCTACATACTCAATGAAAGTAGTTCAGGGTTCCAGATTTAACATGAAAGGAGAAAGCTAGCTGAATACCAGCTTCATCACTCTGAGCCTTTGATTGCTGATGCAATGTAACCTGTTGCCTCCTACTCTTTCCATCATGCCTTCCCTGCACCAATGAACTGTATGCTCCATCTGTGAGCCTTCCCTAAGTTTCTTTTGTCAAGTATTTCCTCAAAGCAGCAAGAAAAGTAGCTTACAGACTCTTCCAGTCAATATTTTTAGGAAACTCTATTTTTAATTTTTAAAAATTCTTTGACAATTTCAAGCATATGTATAATGCATTTTGGTTGTTTTCATCCTGCCATTCCCCTCCTTCATCTCCTTCCCACTCAAGCTGAGCTTCTTCTAAACAAGTTCCCCTGCCATATTCACATCTTGTTTTCACTTGTGCATGACACACTGAATTTAATTAGGACTTGGAACACACTCTCTATTAAAATAAAACACAACTTCTGCTTTTGAACAAGGAGTTTTCAATATACCTCTTCTCATAATGGACTGCACATCCATTACTTGGAATAAAAACCCCTTAGAGCTAGGCCACAAAACAATGAAAAGTAAGTTACAAGCTTCGGAGACCTTCAACACGCTCATGAGTGTTGATAACTGAGAGCCTGGAGTGGTGACTGACAGCCAGCACCAGTTACTGTTGATGCTGATCAGATGATTCTTCCTTGCATCCATTTACAGGGCTTGTTTTTTCTTACTCCAGTAGAATAAATTTTACATCTCTAAAACTACTTCCTCTCCCCTGTACTGTGCAGTTCTGAAGCAGGCTCAAGTGACTTATGATCAATAGTGAATAATGTTGCTTCCAGCAAAAGCATCTCAGGATACTTTAAATCCAGGCTGTGAGATAGCTGGTCATCACAGTCTTCAGAACTCTTGATGTGGAACCATGCTGCTAAAAAGCTTAGAAATCCAATGTTTCTTTTCCGTCCTTTTCTTTTTCTCACTTTCATTCTTTTTGTAACATAATCTTGCTATGTAGTGTCTGAAACTTACTATGTAGACCAGATAGGTCTTGAACTCACAGAGATCCTCTGCCTCTCAAGTGCTGGGATTAAAAGTATGTGCTTCTACATCTGACTAAAGTACATTTTTCTATGAGACAAAAAGTAGAGATGAAAATGAAACCACATATCTGGGGTCATGATCCAACATTTACATCATTCTACCCCGAATTAAAAGGCAGAGCTTTATACAAGACGATGAAACTTGAGTAGTAAAACCTGAAAACCGGGCTAGAGAGATGGCTCAGAGGTTAGGAGCACTGGCTGCTCTTCCAGAGGTCCTGAGTTCAAGTCCCAGCAACCACATGGTGGCTCACAACCATCAATAGTGAGATCTGGTGCCCTCTTTTGGTATGAATGCATTCATGCAGATATAACACTGTATACATTAAAATACATACACACACACAGAAAAACATGCCAATCCCACATCTTCTAACAACTCAGGAAAGAATGAAAAGGGAGAAAACCAGAAATATTATTTCTAACTAACCAATCTAGAAAATTCAAGAGAATCCATTTTTACATGTAAGAAATAAAGAACTCACTTTAGAGAATTTAAAGCATATTCTTAAAGCTCAACCTAAGCATTAACTACTTAATGCTTAGACATGCTTAATGCATTGACTTGCCCCTCTTTCAGTTGCTCCATTAGGACAGCTGTATACTATAACTGACATGACCCAATACCTCCGGATTGCCACAGTGAGGGCCTCTGGTGAGCTGGCACAGGGACAGATGACCTCCTGCCGAAGGCCTTTACTCTGGAAGACATTGAGAAACGCATCACAAGAAGAAATAGACCCTGGAGGGAAAGAGGGACAATGGTCAGATAAGCTTAACACTGTGATTGACTTAAAATTATTACAGCAAAAATAAATCTGAAGCTAGTATTCAGACATAAACAGAGTAAGGCACTATGGAGAAACGAAACATTTACTACAATTTATTATTTACGTTACATTGAAAGATAATATTTGTAAACCTTTAGAAAAAAAATTTAAAAACTGTAACTTCTACATGTAAAACACTTTTGCTGACTAATGAATTTACTTTATTAACTTCCCTGAAACCTGGTCTACAACTTTCAGTATGCAAGTTCTAGAAAAATGTGTCAATCTAAAAAAAGAAAACTTCGCTTAGACGAATTTGCATTAATTAATAATACCCTAAGAAATATATAACTTTTTTTGAGACAGGATTTCTCTGTGTAGCCTTGGATGTCCTGAATTTGCTTTCGTAGAACAGGCTGCCCTCGATCTCACAGAGATCTGCCTGCCTCTGCCTCCCTGAATGCTGGGATTACAGGCATGCGCTACTGTGCCTAACTAATGTATGACTTTCAAATACAAAATTAACTTTGTTTTATGTAAGATGTTTTGAAGTGATGTATACAAAAAGTAATTAATTACTTTACAGTTTAGAAAATTATTTTAGAAGTAAGGGAATCATTTATAAACTAAGCTATTTGTTTCTAACTTGACTTTCACCCATCAGGCATCAAGAAAGCACAGCCTACTCTAGTTTACAAATACAGCTAAGCAGTTTACCTATGAGGTCAGAAACAGTCTTTCATTCAGTTGTCTTCTGATGTTATAGACAAGTAACACCAAGCTATTTCAAGGCATGTAAAGGATATTTTATGAAAATCTAACTTATTTTATTTGAGTTTTATTGTTTTATAATTAAGTTTTATTAAAACAATAGCTTTACTTATTGATCAATAAAACTACAGTAAACCATAAAATAGTACTCCCTGATCTTTTATTCTATGAGAAAGAACTATACTTAGGGACTGACCCATTTCATCCTCAAGGATTATGATCTGACTACCACTGTAGAGTTAAGAAAACAAATTAAAAAGCAACTGAATGTTTCTTTTGACTTTAGGCCTGCAGACTGTGAACACCCTGTCCTTAATCACTCTGTTATCCTGGTCTTTAAGAAGAACACTGCTTGGTTATTTTAAGATAGTCTCAACCAATATACAGATTAGAAAAAACAAAAACAAAACAAAAAAAAACCCCAAAAACATCAAAGTGCCAAGAATGACATGTGAAAAACAAGGAGCTCTGAGGTTTGCTCGTCTCTGAATCTAAAATTGATGCTTCACTTACAAGGATTTGCTCCATCAGCCACTATTAACATGCGGAGGGAGGACAAGTTGACATCTCTCTGATCTCTATGTGCTACAAGTGCCCAGTGCATGTCTCTTGATTTCACGCAAGCCACTTTAGCTACAAAGGAAAATAGAAGTTATCATGTGTCACCACCAGACTGTGTGGAGCTGAAGAAAACAGGAAACTGAATCTTGGGTAATGGTGAATTAGCTTGTCACCAAATCACCCGCAAGCCCAGGAGAGACCAACCTTTGTACTGGCAGACCTTCTGGATCCAGGAGAGGGGGTTTACCTTCATCAGTGAGTACGGGATGCTGATGACGTGCATCATGTTCATGACACTCTGAAACCAAAGGATGAACACAGAGATAAGCAAAGAGGTGGAGGTACAAGAGGAGAGGGCTCACTGTTCTAATACAGGGAAAATATGTAAGTGAAGGCACAGCAGGCAGCAGAAACAAACAGGAACACTTCAAGGAGTTACTGAGGTTGACTAACACAAGAGAAGTTTTCAGGGGACAAGATGGCTGACTCAAGTTAGGCTCAATATTCTTAGGGTATACTCTGGTATAATCTATTAAGACAAAACAACCTCTTAGAGTTTAGTCCATCCAGTCTGCTCAACTACTCCTGACAGATAAAAAGAATTTTAGTCCAAATCCTTTTCTCATTAAAATATTGCATTAGAAAGAACCCCAAAAGGGTCATCTTTGTGCTTAGGAAGATATGGCTCAGTTGGTGGCATGCCTGCCAGGCAAGCATAAAGATGTAAGTTTTGAGCCCCTAGCAACCATGTAAAAAGCTGTACATGGTGTCATGTAATGCAGCACTTAGAGAAGTGAGGAGGCACAGACAGGGAAATCCCTGAAGCTCACTGGCTAGCCAGCCTAATCCAGTCAATGAGCTCCAGCTTCTGGGTTGGGGATTTAGTTCAGTGGTAGAACGCTTGCCTAGCAAGCAAGGGCAAGGACCTGGGTTCGGTCCTTAGCTCTGGAAAAAAAAAACCCACAAAAAACAAAAAACAAGGTAACGAGCTGCAGCTTCAAAGAGTGAAGACCCTGTCTCAAAAAGATAGACACTGGATATTTACTTTTGCCTTCTACATACATACACACATACACACACACACACGGGCACATACACAGAGCACAACATACACACAACACACCATATGCCCCAAATAAGAAAATTATATGTAAATACCTAAGATATTTATGGGAAAACTGTTCATCACTACAAACCAGGAAAATGCAAGTCAAAACTACAATGAGTTATCAACCCTCTCAGAATGGCTATTACCAAAAAAAAAAAAAAAAAAGCTTGCAAATAGTCAAAGAAGAGGAAATCTCAAAGAGAATTTGTAGGAATGTACATTAGTATAGCAATAGTGTAAAATAGTTTGAAGATTGCAAAACACACATACAAACAACCATAACAAGACAACTACAATGGGATGTACCAGGATCACTACCAGGCATACTGAAATCAGTATGCTGAAGAGACATCACACTCATGATCTTACTGTAGCACTATCTATAACAGACAAGATACAGATTTAAGCTAGGTATCTATTTAATAGAAGAATGGATAGAAAATGTGATACATACAGTAGAATATTTTTGAAACATAAGAATGGAACTGTGGGGGGGATGTCACACACCTTTAATCTCAGCACCTGGGAGGCAGAGGCAAGCGGATCTCTGTGAGTTCGAGGCTAGCCTGGTCTACAAAGTGAGTCCAGGACAGCCAAAATTACACAGAAAATCCTGTCCCGAAAACAAACAAACAATAAAAACAAAAAACAAAAATGGAGCCTTGCTGTGTGTTGCAATATGAATATAACTGGAGGACATTATGTTAATCAAAATCAGTCACACACAGAAAGACAGAATATTACATGGTGTTATTTATATGTGGAAGTTAAAATGTGGATTTCAAAGAAGAAAAAATACAGTAGTCTTATTAGGCGCTTAATATGTGAATTCAGATGTGATGAAGGGGTGGTAAATGCACACAAAATACAGCTAGATGGGAAGATGAACCTCTAGTATACTGTGCTTAATCTTAGTCAAATGACCAAGAAGTGATAACTTTTAATTTTCTATAGGATAGTAGTGTAACAAAGGCAAAAAAAGACTCATAGCTTCAGTGTAACTACTAGAGAAATTCTGAATGTTTTTGGAAAGCAATGCTACATGTTCCATGCCAACTCTTCTGCTCTCATCTTAACACATATTACATCTACTAAAATTCCATGGGATTACTTAAACATGTAACTGTCAACTACAAACAAATACACAACATTTAGTTTTATAGTCTTTCATTCTAAAAGTTCACTTCCTTTTCAAAGAAGAATATAATAATTGTTTCCGAAATTAATTTTGCTGGTTAAGAGACTGTAAGGCATGCAACTTTGGAAAGCTGTCTGCACCAGTCTTCCATCTAGCCTTGGCCAATGTATATTGAGATTCTAAGACAGATAGTTCCTTAAAGTGGATGATAAAAATAAAAATTGACTGTATAAATGGTTGATGCACATAGGTTGTGATTAAAATTCAGGAGTTTTACATGTAGCTTGGATCTGTTACATAGCACCATGAAGGACTACAGACTGTAAACATCAAGTCAATGCTTTTTGGCTTGGCTTTTGTACACTGAAAATCAGTATTTCAAAGGGAGAAGCTCCAAGTGAAAATGAAAATTACAATTGTAGAACCCCTACCAGGAAGAGGTATCTACAGAACCTGTGCAACCCTAATCTGCTTTTAGGGGCTTCTTCCCACTGAGTTCTAAGAAGAAGGGGCTTCTGCACCTCCAGGATGAGGCAGAGTATGTGCTACCATGTGTTCAATCATCAGGCTTTAGGAGGAGTCAACAAAAGGGCAGTTTGTGAGTCTAAGTACTGCAGAAAGGGATGTAGAACAATAGAATTAAAGTATACTGTCAACAAAAGAGCAACTTGAGAAGAACTGGTGACACTCTTAGTGGAGGCTGGATAAACCAGGCATACAGAAGACAATACATAATCAGAAGCAAGGCATATGCTACTAGAGGTACGGAGGCTGGATAAACCAGGCATACAGAAGACACTGCATAATCAGAAGCAAGGCATATGCTACTAGAGGTACTAACTCTGATCATAACCATTTCTGTTCTCATGGACATGACAATAGAAGCACATGTATCACAAATGCAGGAAGACTATGTGCTTAATCACTACCAAGCCACACCATTCTTATGCTAAACACAAGACCCGCCCCCCCCCCTCCATCTACTTGGGAGGTAGAGGTAGGATGATTTCAAGGCCTGTCTAGATAACTTATTGAGACTTTATCTCAAAAAACAAAACCCCCAAAAGTCAGGCTATAGCTCAATGGTAGCATTTGCCTAATATCCAAAAATCTCTGCATTTAATTTTCAGTCCTAAAGAGAGCTTCTTATGCACATGAATATGACACTCACTAGAGTCATAGCTACAACAGGGGCAGAGCCTTGTATGCAGGTTTCTTAAATCTCCAACCCCGAACCTGTGTTATTCTCTCTGCTCCAGCACACGTTAGCCTGCCAACATTCTGAACCATGTTTCTGCATTCCTACATATAAAAACATCCAGACATTATAAGTAAGCCTTACTGGAACACAGAGGCCAGAAGGGTCCATGAGCAGACTATCTACAAGATAATTAAATGTTCATGGGTCATACAAATACGTCTGGCTCACTAATAAGTAACAAACTAATATTTATATTCCTAACATTTATGTAAAAATTACTGGGGTTTTCTACTTCGGGAAATAAATTATGAGGAAGCCTAAGAAACTATTAAGAAAAAAAACCAGTCAAAACTTCCTTATATGAAATAGGTGGGAAATCCCAAGCAGGCATTTTTTTTTTCCTTTTTTTAAGTGCCAAGAATACCTTCCCAGTCTAAAGTCATTTCTCTCCTACAGTATCTACAGTTAGTTCAGCACCACCACTTTTCAAGTAGCTCTGAAAATGAGACAAATATCTCTCCATAATTCATATTAAATTTTTAAGGCCAAGTCTAAAATCCTTTCTTCCTTGCCAATAATCTATTACCAGACCCCCTGACTCTTAAAAAAAAATTTAGTAAGAACATTCTAGCTAGAGTGGAAAAGCTTTCTTGACAGATAAGGCAACAGTAACACCAGCAGGAAACCTTCAGAGCCCAAATTTAGTAAAGACCTTGGTACCTTAATATAGCTATTGCCTCAATATATGGGTCCAAGTTTTAAAAAAAAAGTTTTTCTAAGACTACTTGTCTTTATTGTACTGTTGCAGTAAGCTGGCTAAGTAGACAATATGACTCTTAATACAATATTTCTTTTTTTATAATGTGAGAAGGGACCTTGCAGAAGCTGGACACACTTCCACATTAGATATAAGAGGCATGAAAGGGGCTTACTTACTGTCAGTATGCCATGCCAGAGCCCCACATCCTTCTTGAAGTCTAGAACATTCACAATAGTTTCAGCTGTACAAAAGAAGAATTAGAAGTTTTACTTGACATGATAGGGCAGTATCAGTGAAACTGAAAGGAAAACCCAAACCTGAGGGGTCATCCTAGATCTTAGAAGAATACCATATCACTCTGTCTTTACAGAAATTCTATAGTCACTCATAGACCACTAAGGAGTGCTGGCCAGGCTGAAGAATGTTTCCAGTATAACATTCAGGCATGTAAGTAAATGCAATACCTGCCCACATATCACCACTGAAAAACATTTTACTGTATCAGACACCGTGGGGCAGGCTTGTGATCTCAGCACTTGGGATGATCACAACTTTGAGACCAAGGCTGGGCTGCACAACTAACTCAAAGCCAGATTGGACATATAGTAAGACTTCTAAAATCACTGTCATATAACAACTCCCCAATCCCCACAAAAAAAAAAACAACCTACAAAAACCCCACAACCATATACCTTCCTATTTGTTTCTGCCTTCCTGAGATTTTCTTTTAATTTCTCCAACATAAGACTGTGTTGTCACAACAGGAAAACACGAAGGGGAATTTTTGGCAGTGCATAGGCTTGCTTTGTCACTTCAGAACTCTTTAAGGGTGATGGGGTGGGACAATCAAGAAGGTGAGATACATCAAGACAGGGCTGTATTGAAGCAGCACAGGGATGAGAGTTTATGGTCTCTTCATTCTGTCTGGAAATATTTACCAAAGGTTTAAGCATTCTATTTTATTTCCTGATCTCCTATCACAGAATAAAATGGACCAAGAAGACTAATTTAAAATACAGATATCCGAAGTAAAGTAATGAAGTTATATATACTGTATAATATATACAGTATATATATATATATATATATATATATATATATATATATATATATATATATATATATATTTGCTTCTGATACCAAAAAGGTGACAGCTCTGGATCTTCATGTAGACCAAAACACACAAGTAAGTATGTTTTGGCAAAAGGAATAATAGAGATTAGAGTCAGTGTTTCTTGAAGTATTAGTCTAACCATTAATACAGCATGTATAGGAAACACATTATTCATAAAACAGGAAAGGATGAGGAGATCACATGAACAGCAGGAAATAGGAAAGTCACTTAGAAGTGAAGCTAGGGACCACTGCTGGCTTCTTCAGGTCCCAGATACTGCTTGTCTGCAGTTGGGGAACAGGCCAGAGATTCCTGAAGCTGTTGCTTTAGCTGTTCCTTCTCTTGGTCCACTCAAACCCATTGCCATGGTTACTGCCATTCACTCTACTTCTCATAATCAGAGGAAACAGACCAGGAAAAGTAACTGTCCTCCAGCAAAGCTTGAAAAACCTATTCTCAAAACTCCTTATTGAATAATGAAGAGTGGGCTGAAACATGGCGCTTACACAGAAAGAGTTTCTAAAAGCATAGTCATGTGCAGGTGGGGATTAGTGCATGTGTGCCAACTGTGAGGTGATCACACATTTCCAAATCTATGTGGTGAAGTTCGCATACCTCTTTTGAGACTGAGCCTTCAAGGACATATGAAATGAGGATATAGGCAGGGCTCCATAGGTGCACACATGGAAAATGTCACATGAGGACACTGTAAGAATGCATCACCTAGAAGGATGGTAGAGCCCCCATTACCAGCACTCTCATTTTGGAGTTTCAGCTGAAGTCCCTGTGCCTGTTCAAGCTGCATCACTACTACTTAGTAAGTTCACAAATTGACAGATAGAGTTGGGCACAAACAGAATGATACTTTGATGGGTACCAGTAGGAACCACACAGGCTAGCTCGCAATCAGGCATCCCTGGTCAGTGGGGAATCTCCAAAAACCCAGATCCAAGGGAGTCTCAGGGCCATCCACACCTTCTGTATAACCGCAGGCCTGTGTGAGTGCCTGACAGTGTGTCAGCAGTGCTATCCTCGTCACGGTCACCCCAAGAACACTTCCATCTTTACACGTCTTATACTGAAAAGAGACAGAAAATATGGAAAAGTTTTTTGATAAACAAATTCCTGATCCTTAGTCAACAGCTCCTAGTTATTTGAGACACTGAGTTCTCACCACCCTGGAACTAGTAAAATGAGGAGAAATGCTATTTTTTCCCAGTAAACACACTCAGCCCCTGTGGAAGGATGACATTCATCTTACCTCAATATAAGCTGTATCGTTATTTGCATCTTTGATGTGTGGAAACCAATCCCTAGGAGGTTTAGAGAGGTGTTTTGATTCTGTGACAAACCACAGCAGCTTTGGCCAACCTTGGAAATAAATAAAAAATTCCTTTTAAGTAAATAGGACCCAAAAATCAGGTCTATAGGATTTCTTTCTCTATTTTTTTCACACCTTGCTTTCAAATACCACTTCAGTCTATATAGAATCTGTGGTATTCTCATATGTTAAATTGAAGACAGTATCATCAAAAGAGTGCTCGAGACACTACTAGCTACATTATCACCCCACAGAATATGAATACATGTATTATCAGAAATGTTGACAGATCAGAAAAGTTCTGTCCTGGATTCAATAGGACATTCCTCCACAAGTGAACAGCCAGTCTATAAAATGAAGAATCCAAAGGAGAAGCAAGTTCTCAGGGGCTCTGTAGCATACCTTTGAACTGTGGGATCTCTCCTGTTGGGCTTTTTGGAAGTCCTTTGTGACAGGCATCACTAGTCAAGGCAACAGTTACTCCACAGCTTCCAAGCAAGAAACCTATCTGCTGACTCCCTGCATCCTGAAAGGTGATCAAAGAGACAGTTAAGAATTGAAGACAAAACTGCACCTCTAGACAAAGCATGGCCTCATAGAAATGAACTGCTCTGCCCAAAACCCTTCTCCCCAATCCCATGTATGTGTGTGTTGTGAGAGAGAGAGAGAGAGAGAGAGAGAGAGAGAGAGAGATTGAAAGGAAGAAAGAGAGAGCTCATAAGCATGAGCTCACACATAAAGAAGTTGGGTGGGTAGAAAAGTTGAGAGGATATATGAGGGGTTAGGGAAGAGGAAAATGATCAAAATATATAAAAATTTAATTAAAAACAAAAACAATAATGTTTCATATAGTGGAGAGAAATTATCTACTACATAAACACCTTACAACCTTATTTCCATACTTTTAAATATTGGTTATAGAGTTATCACATCTGGTAGGGTACAAAACCAACAGAAATCTTTACCTAGACTAATGACAACAGGACCACCTTTTCCACCTTGCATATATCACATCTCAGTGGAGTAACCAACACATACTAAAATGGGCTATGATACAGAAAAATAAGTCTGGAGACAGAAAGCCCAGGAAGGTACCAAGCTGCCAGGACTGAATGTCACCTTTGAGCAGATGTCACAGATGGGCTGTCTCTGGCTGCAACACTCTCAGGAACTGTCTCCCTATGTGAGTTTTATTGCCCCTGTATCCAGCTTGCTTCTCATAAAGACAGATGATAAGCATCCAAGTCACCTAGATTCACCTTCTTTCCCGTCAGCTCTGCAACTATGCTGTTGACTTGAAAAGTAAAAAATCAAAGTCTCAGAGTACCAGCATTTCTGGAACTAAAAACATATCATTGTGTAGAAAAGTCCAGGCTATTCCCAGCTTGACCCTATGAACAACCTTCATGATTGTTCAAGTCAACTGGCTTGTTGACTCTCCTGCCTGTCCCAGAAAGTCACTGGGCAAAACACAGTACTTTCACCTATGTATTCACCAGCATTGACATTCAAAGCTGTTGTCTGCCAAGTGTTTAGACTTAGTACTTTTCTAATTTAGGTTTAAAGCTATTATAGTTTCTTTACATGGATTTTTTTTTTCATAGAAAAACAGATAGGAAGGTAATTACATAATTAACACAACCCTGCAATGGGAAAGGTAGTATAGATCTCACTAAGTAGGGTCACTCCATTTTTTGGAGACACTTTCTATGGAGCATTTTTTGGACAGTATGTTGCAATACTGTCACCAATAAAGTCAAGTGTTGGTATAATGTTCTTTTGAAATGTATATACCTTACCTTTGTTCATTCAAATGCTGATTTCTCTCCCTCACTCTCTGGTTTCAGTCCAGATATTGTATTGTGGTGCTTATTCTAAGCATCATCTGTCTCATCTTTGTGTAAACTTCCATATAAAGCAACCAGCCACAATGTTGAGTAGGGAAAGGAAAGAGGTGAGGGGCTGGAGGACAGGAAAGAGTGGGAGTAAAAAAGGCGGGAGAGAGCTGAAGGACAGATCGTGGAACAGCATGGAGAGAATGAACCAGACCTAGGATTTCACAAAAAGCAAGTATAATGTGTAAAATCTGAATGTTAGGAAACTATGCGGGCATGGAGGTTTAGGAGGGAGTAACTACTGCCCAGCATTGTGCTCTAGGTTAACTAAATAAATCCCAGTCTCTGTGTGGTGATTTGGGTATACAGCTCTTTAGGATTAACAGCAGCTTTACCAGAAGATATATCAACAGTAAATATTAATCACCACCTACAATAGTCAAGATCAAACACCACTCCTCTGAGGAGATGATGCAGGCAGGCAGAAGAGGTAGGTTTTCAGCAGCAGGAAGTGGACTGCCTCTCAAGCTTATGAATGCCTTGCTGAGTCAGGCATACACCAGAACTATCTCCCATTAGGAAGTGACTGGGGTCAAAGTTACTCACAGGTACTTGAAGCATACACACAGATAAGAGGGTATGACACTAACCTTGGACCTAAAGCCAGGAGCCCACCCTCCCCTATATTTCAAGTATATGAGTGTATGCATGCGAGCGTGTCTTATTACCCCCACACCACAAACTCATATATATAAATAGACCCTTAAATAATAAAAACTTAAGTTGAAAGAGCATTTACTAGGCATATATGAATTCCTGAGATTCAATCCCCAATATTGAGAGAATTTTAAGAAAAAGAAGGAACATGAGAAGTGGGGGAGGTGGGAGATGGGAGAAGGAAGTGGAGGAAGAGGAGAGGAGGACGAGGAGAGCTGTACAATATTGAAAAGTGGAAGCTTTATAATAGAAAGACCAAGATGTCAAGACTGCCATCCAGTATTAAATGTTGTCTCTAATTGAATCTCCTAATCTACAACGTACCTCCCCAGGGGCTAGACATTAGCTTCTGAAGAACTTGGTCAGGTCACTCACAGCCCCCATGGGGTGATACCAAACACACAAACACACAAGACAGAGCCAGCTTCCCCTACAGCCTTCTACATCCAACAATCAACTAGGATGGTGGGATGAAGTGGTGAACTCCAAAGAGACTACATCAAAACAAGGGTCAAGAAAAGAACTTATTGGTGCTCAGAGTCTCTGCTCCTGACCCAAGGACAGGGTAAAAAGATACAAGCTACACAGCAGCAATTGCTTCCTATGGTCTACAAGGTCTCTGGAAAGGTATTTGCCTCCATCTGGCTGGATAACAGACCAAACCAGGGAAAGTTACCACAACACATCATTTCAGGATGTGAAATGAGATAAATGCTCCAAGACACACACTCTGACCTTGACATCATTTGCCAAAAAACTTTGCCCCTAAAAATAAGCATGGTTCTCACAGGTAGTTTCTTCCCAGGTAAGAGCAAGTATGCAGACAAACTCAGAGAGGAGGACAGGCAGCCTTGTGTCCCCACAACTCCCCGACACTCCCCAGATTAAGGGTAGCAGACCAAAGTTTGTAACTTTCTCCATGTTTAAGAAAACCCAAATTCTAATTGGGTTACTTGATTTGTTGCTGTTTAACTTCTTTAGTTCTTTATATATTTGGATATTAGCTCTCTGTCAGATATAGGGTTGGTGAAGATCCTTTCCCAATCTGTAGGCTGTCTTTTTGTTCTGATGACAGTGTCCTTTGCTTTACAGAAGCTTTTCAGTTTCATGAGGTGCCATTTATTGATTGCTGATCTTAGAGCCTGTGCTGTTAGTGTTCTGTTCAGGAAGTTGTCTCCTGTGCCAATGAGTTCAAGGCTCTTCCCCAATTTTTCTTCTAAGTGGTTTAGTGTGTCTAGTTTTATGTTAAGGTCTTTGATCCACTTGGATTTTAGTTTTGTGCAGGGTGATAAGAATGGGTCTGTTTGCATTTTTCTACACATAGACATCCAGTTAGACCAGCACCATTTGTTGAAGATGCTATCTTTTTTTCATTGTATGGTTTTCTATCTTTGTCAAAAATCAGGTGTCCATAAGTGTGTGAGTTTATTTTTTAAAAGATGCTCAAGTATACAACAAGGACATTAGCTCAACCATATTCATAGCAGCTTTATTTGTAATAACCAGAACCTGGAAACAACCCAGATGCCCCTCAACTGAGGGATGGATACAGAAATTGTGGTACATTTGCACAATGGAATACTACTCAGCCATTTAAAACAAAGAAATTATAAAATTTGCAGGCAAATGGTGGGATCCAGAAATGATCATCCTGAGTGAGGTATCCCAGAAACAGAAAGACACACATGGTATACACACATTTATAAGTGGATATTACACATGTAATATAGGACAATCATACTAAAATCTGTACACCTAAGGAAGCTAATCAAGAAGGAGGACCCTGGTAAGATGCTCAATCTTCATTCAGAAAGGCAAATGAGATGGACATCAGAAGAGGGAGAAAACAGGGAACAGGACAGAAGCCTGTCATAGGTGGCCTCTGAAAGACTCTACCCAGCAGGACATCAAAACATATACTGAGATTAATAGCCAAACTTTTTGAAGATTGCAGGGAATCTAATGAAAGAAGGGGGAGATAGAAAGACCTAGAGGAAGCTACACAAGGAGAGCAACAGAATCAAAAAATCTGGGTCCAGGGGTCTTTTCTGAGACTGATACTCCAAACAAGGACCATGCATGGAGATAACTTAGAACCCCTGTACAGAAGTAGCCCATGGTAGCTCAGTGTCCAAGAGGGTTCCCCAATAATAGGACCAGAGACCATCTCTGACATGAACTTATGGGCTGGCTCTTTGATCACCTCCACCTGAGGGGGGAGCAGCCTTACCAGTCCACAGAGGAAGACAAAGAAGCCAGTCCTGATGAGATCTGATAGACTAGGGTCAGATGGAAGGGGAGGAAGCCCTCCCCTATCATTGGACTGGGGGACGGGCATAGGAAAAGAGGAAGGAAGGGAAGGAATTGGGAGAGGGTCGGGGAGAGGTCTACAGCTGGGATACAAAGTGAATAAACTGTAATTAATAAAAATAAAATTAAAAATTAAAAAAACCCAAATTCAAATATTTCTATTAATTTCCAAACATTTCTCCAAGATAGAAAAAGCTGATAATGTTACTGTTTAGAAATTCCTTGTGTGTGTCCTCTGTGGCAGTAACTCCTCACATCATAATCAATATTCCTTATCACTAGTAAAATAGATCAATTAATGTCTTTTCCGTTATCAATTTTATCTGGGTTTATAATGGAAACCTTCAAGCACACACAAAGATGGAGATAAGAAATCCTCATGTGTAAATAATCTAATGTTAATAATTAGAGTTTTAACCATGCTGACCCCATCAATTCTACAATTATCCTCACTATAAAATACATATTCATAAAAATGTTTATACCCAAGAAACCCAGCATAAGACACACACACAGTATCACACATATGAATACACATAAGGGTCATATATATGCTCAAATACATATTTCTATGTTCATACACATCAGGACACTCACATACCACACACTGGCATATAAGAAAGTATCTGATACATTATGTATACAATAGCACTTTAGCCAAGGGATACCATTTTTAAAGCAGCCCCTCCTCACCCTGGCAGGCAGCTGCTCATCTCCTTTTACCCTCAGCAGCTCCACTCCTATTTTCCTTCTATTCCTGTGGTTCAAGATCCCAAGTCTACTGAGTGCCTCTCTCAACATGCCACTGTGTTTGCCTTAAGTGGTAAAATATGCAAGACTCTGGCATTGCTCCTTCCATTGGTTCTATCTGAAATGGTATTGGAAACATTGCTTGTTTTTGTTTGTTTGTTTTCAGACACAATCTCATTCAGTAGCCCAACTGACCTCATCCGTTTTAGTATCCCTCTTGCTGGATTTACAGGAAAGTGCCACATAACCCATCCCTTTTGGAAACATTTACTAACATAAGCAACCAAACATCTATGATTTGAGTTCTCTGGAGCAAGCAAGACAAAGGCTCAGGCAGCAACAGATCCTTTTGGCTGTTACGCACCTGTTCAAGTTACAGCAGAAAGGGAGTGACCAGGCCAGAACCTGGTCTGGCCCAGTAAACCTGTTCTGTCCTCTCATCACTGACATACAGTCAGATTCTTCATTCTGCCAGCCTGGCTGGGTCTTTGCAGTCACTATCACTTTGTATCCAGACCATCAACACCAGTGTATAGCCTTTGTTCCTCAAGGACATGTTGGCATAGCCTACTTTTCGGGTTAGCAAATCCATTTGGCTGACAGAAATACATATAGGTTCAGATACCATGAGATAGTGACAGTCTTTTTCCACATATACAGTGACAATTCAAGTCCCCACTAACAAGGTTATAGGTTTGCTTTCTCTTGTCCTCTTCCCCTGTCTTGTTTACAAGCTATAAGTCGAGTCACCAACTTCTCCTGGTAAAGATACCTAGATGTTTCCATTTCACTACCAGAAATAAAGGGAAAAAAATGAAAGCAAGTTGTTACTTAGGCATTAAACAATATTTAGGACTAAGAATGACGGATGTTCAATAGGGACTTTAAGGCAACTCCAGTGGCCATTGAACAGGCAGATGCAAGCATTAGGCTTCACATACTTTATCACCTACTCACACACTTGTGTTATTTCACTTCTAATTGTAACCAAGCAAGAAAAGTCAAGTAAAAATAAGAAAACTGTGCACAGGCACTATGTTCTACATGCATGGGCAGGGAAGAAAGTTCAGCAGAACTGTCAGGGAAATGCAAATTAAGACTACAGGGAGATTATTTCACACCCATTGGCACGGCTTTTTATCAAACAGGCAAACAGTAACAGGTGAAGACAAGAGTGAAATCCCAAGAAATGGTACAGAGATTCCTAAAAACACTAACACAAGAGTTTGACTGCAGACAGCAGGTCATATTAGGGACTGTCAATTAGACAGGTGATTAAACAACTACACACTATTAGCTTCTTATTGGTCCCAGAGTAAGAATACTCTATAAAGAGAAACAGCAACTTTAGTCATCAGAGGTGAACCTGGGACTTGACAATGTCAGGACAACTAAACACAAATAAAAACTACCACCCACAATCAAGATAAGTCAAAGAACTATCATGTACCTGGGCTTTCTATGCAGTGACACTAAGGAATGAGAAAATGGTTCATAATAAGTTGAGATAAGACAGTTCCATGCTGTGCTATAAAATAAACTTAAGCTCCACCTCTGAGAAGTTGCACACCTGCAGATGAAACACGCTGTGTGTGTGAATAACTGTTCATGTAATAGATGAACCTGATGAACATGTGTTCTGAGCCTTAAAGACAGTGAGAACATGTGACTGCTCTTGCACAGCGAAGATAAAAAGCCATTTACAAAACTGTAGTCTGCACATTCACTTGCCACTGAGCCTGTTACTTCCCTCTAATAGAGCTTAACTGAAAACAAGTTCTTTACCTTTCTTGTGAGTGGCACTTCAATGGGGACAGGAACAACTTCAGCCAGCAAGCAACCATAGAAGGCCACCATAAAAGCAGCAGGGTCATTGTTAGGGAACACTAGAGCCACCTGGAGACACAACAGCAGGATTTATCTTTCCACAGATAACAGGATGAAAACTCCAAGCCCCCAGCACATTGGTACAGGCCTGTCAGACCACTGAGGAAGCTAGGAAAGAAGGACTATAAATTCAGGGCAAGCACAAGCTACAGAGCAAGAATCTATTTCAAAAGTGATAGATGCTGAGAAAATTGTTTTCTGTAAAACGAATAGTAAAAGATATTTTAAAAACTACCCCATACTTTTTCTTCATCTTACATGGAAGAGAAACATTAACAGCTCTCAACTACAGTACCATTACCAGACAATAGCTCATTTTACTCTTTGCTTCTTATCTTCCATAGCCATGTAATTTTCATATAAATAAAAACAATGGGCATAATATATGGGTTTTAACTCTTTTCACTCATCTATATAAATAACTGTGTATTCTGATATAGTTCTCACAGTTAAAATTAAATGCTTATATAATTCTTCAGGTAGATGGGCAAAAGCTTGGGAGCTAGATTCAGTTGAATTTAATTCAGGTCCTAAGTTATTTCTTAGTTCTGGGATCTTATGAGCAATTTTGGCCTCTCTAAACCTTTTTCCTTATATGGAAAAAGGAAAAAGAGCAATAATATAAACTGCACCTGATTGTCATAATAAAGGGCAAATGACATAGGGTTTACAGAGTGCAGTGTGAAGCATGACACATCACATGTGTCTATAAATATGTAATCCTCACATTATCAGCCCTGGCATTAATTTCAACATCAGACTTTTAATGCTGATGGGTATGCTCACTATCTCCTGCTGTAAGTATTTCATAGTACCTGGTCTTCCCATGCTCATCCACTTGCTCAGTTTAGCCACTCCAAGAGTAGAATAAAACCCACCACACAATAACGCTGAATGTAATTTTAAAATAGAATTTTCCAAAACTCTGTAATTATGCCAAATCCTAAGAATAACAGTTTTTTTTTCTTTTTGATTCCTTTCATTTTCCATATTTACCTTTCACATCTTCCTGTGTTCCCTGGAATTTGACACAAAGTTTCTTAATATGTTTTCACATTTTCAGCATATTCTTTTAAAATTGTGTTTCCTTTATATTCATAGGTAATAAATATGCGCCAATTTCTCCATACCTTTTTAAAAGAACTGAGACAGTTTTGGTATGGATATACCTTCTAAGAAATGTGTTAGGTGGTTTATAATTATAAAAGTATCAGAAAAATCTACTCATGCAAACTAGAAAGACTATGACTTCCTTAAGCAGTATCTTCTGGGATGGTCATCCTACATGCAAACTGTCACTGATTATCACTATGTGGCACATAACTGTTTGCAGCATAGCCAAATTAATTATTTATCCTACCCAATGCTCTCTAAATGTTCCTTCCTACTTGGTTAGAAGGGGTTTCCTATATGATAAGAAGTTTTTGTTTGGTTGGTTTATTTATTTATTTTTTTTGTTGTTGCTGTTTTTGTTTTATTTTTTAGTTTTGTTTATTTGGATTGCCACTATGCCCTTCAGGATGAAGTCTCTGTTATCACATAAGCTCCTCTAGCATGCTGCTGTACCTTCAGTGTTAACTCTTTACAAACCATGTGGGTGTATTTTCACAGGCACAGAAATCCAATTATTTAGCATATACACATCATTTGGGAAGTTTTTTATTTTGGAGTTCTAATTGGTTTCTTTAAAAATGTTCTACATAGGCCTTATTAATTTTGTTAAGAACATTTGTCTAGCATTTTTAATATCCAAGATAAATAGGCTGGCTTAAAAGTATCCTGAGGGCAGTTATGAAGTCAGGAGTAAAATCTTAACTTGGTCATTGTGACTCTTCCGTAATACAGGATAGTTGGTAAAAGCAAAATTAAGTTTTGAAATAGATTATCTCTTTTCTACATGGCTAGAAAACAAGTCGGAAAAAGAACAAAATTATGTATTTGTAAGCATATCAACAAAACTGATTCTCTGAGACTAATGTGTATCTGTCTTCATTTGAGGAAGTCAGTGTGTACTGATAGCACATTTTCAGATGCAAAGGCTCATAAAGATACAAGAGACAATTATACATTTGTAATGTTCCCAGGTGACTACCTGCCACATATGATTTCTTCCCACAAAGTGGTCCAAGAAGTCTAAGGAAACTGATTAAAACAGCAAAATACACCAAACTTCCCAATCTGATGGTCACACCTAATCCTAAAGAATGCATACTTGCCTTTCATGTCCAACCTTACTCTACTAAGGAGGAAGGACAGGCTAAATTCGGGAATTGTAAAAGAGAGGTTGTCTAGTTATTTGAACCTCACTTACCCTGTCTCCAGGTCGTACCATAGGCTCTTGCTTTGTACCTAGTTTATGTAGAATGTTATAAGCAACCTTCATACTTCTTGTCCATAGTTTTCCTGTTGATAAAGCAAAAACACACAAACAACTTAACAATATACACACATTTTTCAGCTACACACAACTGTGAATTATTAAACTACTGAGCATTTTTGGAGTCTAGTTCATACATCTATTCTGCTCAGTATATATTGTTGGAAATAACTGTCACATGGGAAATTACTGATAAAAAATGGGACAGGAAAAATACTATAAAACTGAAAGCTAAAAATACACTAAGAAGTAGTAGTAGACATTAAAAAAAATAGCAGAGAGAGACAGAAGCATATGGAGGGAGAAGGGAGGGAGGGAGGAAAAGGAGGGAAGGAGGGAAGGAAGGAAGGGAGAAGGGAGGAAGGGAGGGAGGGAAGGAGGGAGGGAGGGAAGGTAGAAGGAAAAAGGAGAGAATGAGGAGAGGGAGAGGAGAGAGAGACAGGAAATTTTAATTTTAGCATATTTAGCCTGTATTATGCTTGGCCTATGACAAGGAAGGAGTTGATGGGACATGAGGCCACAAGTTTCTCATTAATTAATAGTATACAGCCACAAGATGGTAAGGATAGGATCTGAAATATCCTCTCTCACAGACAAAGTTTACCCAAGGTTTTGTTTTTATTTTTATTTTTGTTGTTTTTAGTTTTCATTTAAGTTCCTACAATCAGGATAGAAAATAAGTACTAAAGACAGTCACATTACCAGAGGATAATCAGAACAAGGCCTTAACATTTTTTAATTCCTCTTAGTATATGAAGCACTTATTATAAAGTCGTAGCTTAAAATTTTTTAAAAATCTGTATTTCTATTGGATTGATGTGGCATCCCAGTGAGAGTATTAAAAGCTCTATCCATCTCTTAATGGTGCACTGTCTTGGGCAATGAACACAAACTCGGTAAAAATTGCTCCGACTGGTCATTCAAAGCCTGATCCCTTGCAAGCTGTAAACTTCTCAGAGTGAACATTTTCTAATCTTGGAGATTGGAGATTTTGGATGAAGAACCTATGCACTTGAAAAAAATGCAAATTTTTATAATCAATTTTAAAATTCTGAACTCTAGAAAAAATTTTAAGTCAAATGCAAATATAAAAAAATGTTAAGTTTCAAGGCAGGTTTTTTTCCCTTAAAAGTTTCTAGAAATTTTATTTAATAACAGAAATAAACTCTGAAAGACTTTGACATTCCAAGCCTTAATCCTATGCTCCTACATTTCCAGGTAATCATGAACATATCATGAACGTAAAGGAAAACAGACTTCAAATCTAAAGAGAGTACTCTCATGCATAAGGCATTTTACAGCACAGTCTAAGATACTCAACTATTAAAAGCTTTCAAAATAAATCAAAGTTCTAGCCAAAACATTCATGTAAAAGTTATATAATGCAGATCAATCTAATTACATCTCAATATAGTCAATGTCTATTTTTCTTGGGTAAACAGAAATTTCTTTGGCTTATAACACATTTTTTTTTAATTAAAAAACTGCATGCAGAAAGAAAGGGGAGGGAGGGTGGGATCGGGAGGGAAGGAAGGAGGGGCTTATGGGGGGATACAAAATGAATAAAGTGTAATTAATAATAAAATAATAATAATAAAAAAAGAAAAAAAAACTAACCAACCAAACCAAAGCAAATAATAATAATAATAAAAAAAACTTTGTTTTATTTCATATTAGAACTGTAGCTACCAGAGTTAATGTTGCTATTATTTACCATTCACAGTATTTGTCTACTTATGTGCCCCTTAGTGGATAGTGAGCAAGGAGAATGCTTTATCTCTCATTAATCTAATTCCCAGAATAATTCCTGATTCTCAGTATATGCTAAATACCTAGCGGGGGAAGGTCATTAATGTCATAGGTAAGAACCAATCAAGTCCACATTCATGGTATGCAACTCAACATAACTTTTAAGTATTACATTATTAGATGTTAAGATTTCATTCATGTTCTCTTCCTCATCTCAACCCTAGAGATCTATAAGGTCACTTGATATCTTATTTGGGGAGTACACTTATCTGTCAATGATCATCAGCTCACGAGAAACAATACAGGAGTTGGGTTTTTTTTTCATAAATATTTTAAGACTTCAGACCTTCCTTACTGTGAACAAAACTAGGGAACTATTCTAGCTGAGTAATTTCAATTTGTTGTCACTGAATCAAAGAAAAAGTAATATGCTGTAAACAAACCAGTCAATTAAAACTATTACAGTTAGCTAATGCTTCAACTTCATTTTCTGCTGAGACTCTTAGAAGTTGTTATCATTATGCAATCACACACAACCTAGTTTTACATACTCTCATGAAAAGTGTAAAATGCAAACTTTGAGCAAAATTCTTCAAATATACTTAGTATTTTTACATCTTGTAATTTTCACAGAAAAGGAAACTGAATAAGTACAGTTGCCAGTATAAATCAAAGAGAATAAGCACTTCCAGTGTGGTTGATAAGGATGAATCTCTTTAGCTTCTCTTGGATTTTAATCAGTTCTAGACTACTGTGCAGAGAATGTAACTGCAGAGAAAAAACACAAATGGAAATGGAAGGGGTAATACAGTTATTAGAAGTGCACATCATCTATAGAACTGGAGCAAGAATAGGACAGACTTACCAGCAACAACAGTAAGGTGGTAGGAAGACCATATATTCCTAACTCAGGCAGCTAAATCCTTGCCATACCTAAAGTAACTCAGAATGGATGAGGAGGAGCTCATGAAGTTCCATCCTCTACCTGACGAGCTATTGGCAACTAATGTCTCCTAGGGTCAGAAGAGTCAGTTTTCTTCAGGGACTCAGGCCCTGAGAAGCTACACATGCTCCAGTATATGATCCTACGGCCATGCATATACAGATAGCTCTACATGAACTCAGTGGGTATCAGAGGAAAAAAAAATAAGCACATTAAGCTGTGAGTAAAAATAGGTAGTAGAGATAGGGAAGGAACTGAAAGGAAAAGAATGGGAAATAGATTTGATCAAAATATGTCACATGGATGTATGGATATTAGATATTTTAAAATAAAAGATAAATAGGAACGCTTATGAATTAGAAAAGCAAAATGTACTTAAAGGTATGTTAACAAAACAAAAGTAGGGTATAAAGATGGTAGTTTCTACCATGTGAGAAATGAAAAAAAAGCACTGTACAGCATGGTTTATTTTCAGTAATTAAGATTATGGTGTTTCATGGGTGCTATTTCATATACTTCCTATTTCTATTGCAATTTGAAGACAAGTATCAGATCTCTTGTAAGTTTACTCTATGCTTTCTACTAAATAAGTCTAAATTTTTCAGACAAGAATTCTGCTGCCTTCGGACTTGACAGAAAAGTAAATTTGGGGATATAGGGATACTTGAAGGCTTTAAATACTATAGCCCTTCAATTATATCAATTTGCTTAGGCATTAGAACAACTCATATTTAATGAGCTTTGTTTTCTTTGTGTTTTCTCAGAAATAACCAATTTATGGTTCATTTATTTTTGTTTCTCACAGATAACACTCATGTATAGTATTCATTGTGTCAGCCAACACTTACATACGTATAAGGTAAGATTTAAAAATATCTTACATTTGAATACTTACTTTGTAATATATTCTTAACAAGCAAAAATGAAGATTGACCCCCTCGCATATGACTGACAATGTTAAAATACAGCAAAATATAACTGACTTACAAGCAGGAGTTACAACATTCTGGGTACAGGTCTGATGCATACGTAAGAATAAATATTGCTCAAAGCAAAAATCTATTTCTTGTACCTCAAACTTATCATAGCCTTATCAGAAGGGCAAAGAAGCAAGTACTAGCTTCCGCAAACAGTCAACAGCGAGGAGCCACAGTTTTACTCTTGTATGATAGACTTCTTGAGAACTCAGTTTCATTCGACTCTGACTTCCCAAGCCAAAGTGCTGCGCCAGTGTACAGCACAAACTTAATCTTCTTAAACTTAGTCAATGATTGCAGGTCACCAGAATGCACACAACTTCTGGAACAAACACAAAAGTTGGTGCTAGGGTTGGCCCTACCCTCAACAGACACACACACATACACAAGTAGGAGGCATTGGCTGTAAAGCATCAACAACTCCAAATACATAATTAGGTTTCAGAATTAATTTGGCCAGGCATGAGGGTCACACAGAAAAAGTCTTCTCTTTTCTAACAACACACTTAAAACACACACACACACACACCAAAGCTCATGCTAAATCACAGATAATATTTTCTATCTATTTTAAAGTGTCCAAAATAGCCACAAATATAAAGGGACTGTAAAAAAATACTGCCAAACCCCAAATACTCCTAAGCCAAAATCCCACTTTGGTATGAAATGTACAGGTACACCTGTGGTACCACTTCCAAAATGCTGGGTTCTTCTTAGTTCCATTACTTAACATAACATCTGACTCTTAACCTTGGTGACTAATTTAAAACTCAAGCTCTATCCTCAAAATTATCCAAAGTGTTTGTGATACAAAAACAAAGCCACAGTCAAAAAAAAAAAAAAAAAGGCACTGTCTAATGTCATACATGCATATGTAATTTGTTCCTGTAGCTATGGAGTTTATTAATTCTTTGTAAAGCTGAAGCCAGTAGTATGAAAATAACTGTAATCTGTATTCTCCATGGTGATGAGACTAAGAAAAAGACCACTCTCAAGCACAGCTGGCCATGTGCAAAAGTTTAGTCTGCATTAACTAGACTGTGAGAAGAATTAAGCGAAACCTGTTTCTCTGGCTTTTTGTACTGTGTATCCAGATTTTGCTGTTTCTGAGTGACAGATGTGAAAGTGGAGCCAATCAGACACAATCATAAATGCTGTGAATCTAAATGTTGAAATAATAGAAGATTAAAATCTCTGAAGTTTAAAAAGTCAGAATTCTAAAAGTAAAGTGCAAATATTGAAATCCCAACACAAATTTTACTAAAAATTTATTTAAATTTTCAACTACTTTTAAATCAGAAACAAAAAAGGCAACCCAAACATAAATGCGTCACCCAAATGTGTTTTTTCCTCCTCCCTTCAGTAGCATTTATGTGCAGGGATACCAAAGGACGGAGAGTGAACCTTATAGGATTTCTATAAGTGACATTATGGGATTACCATAAGTGAGGATGTACAGAGGTTTTCCATTTGTGTCCATAGTGGTCAGGCAGGGGGCCTTCGGTGAGATGGTCCCCCATCGTTGTAGTGCAGCTTCTAAAGAGGGTGGCCAGTTTGTGACTACTCCCAACTGCTCCCCTCTTGTGGCCAGCATCTGGGCGCCCTCTGGCTTTGGTTGGTTTGGATCTGGTTGTTGAACTAAATACAAGATTTTAAAGAAAAATACATTCATTTAGTATGATTTTTTTTTTTAGTTGTTTATAACAAAAAACTAAGAGATTCATACTTAAACCATAAATGTATCAGCTGAAAGCAAATGTGCTTTTCTAGAATCAAACCATTCTGGATGTAACAAAAGCATTGAACTCTTAACAATTTCCAAGGCAACACAGAATGGAAAACTTAGGTGGGTGTGAGAACATTTGTGGATAACAGACAAAACCGAACCATATGCCTACAGTCTCACATTTAAATGCATGGGTTTAAAGTTCTAATTGTTAGCACACAGTATTCAAAACTCCAAAAGGCTCAACTCTTACATTATATTTTTCCCTTTGAATGGTAAGTACAGGCAGAAATCGTCTACAAATACTCTGAATAACAAAAGCACGGTGAAAGTATTTTCATGAGTAAAACTAAATGCCTCATCAAAAGAATACACTGTCCCCTTTCTTTTAGTTTAGATAGGTACGAAACTGAAATCATTTCCCCTATTTCTAGAAAAGCATTCTGTCAGAGTTTGAGTTATTACTTCAACCTGCTATCCAGAAAACCAACTGAGTCTTCCATACATTTTTCCATTTTCATGTGTGTGTATGCATGGTGTGCATGTGCAGGCTGTAGATTGATGTGAGCAATTGTCTTCCAGTATTCCTCAACCTAGAACTCACAAATGAGGCTAGTGTCACTCACCAGATTTCTCTGGTGATCTCATCTGTACTTTCCAAAACCTCATTGTACATGAGTTCTAGTGATCTGAAATCCTATCTTCACACTTGTACCCAAGTACTTTATCCCCTTAGGCATCTATCTCCCCATTCCTCAGATAAGTCTTAAATTCAGTTCACAAATAAAAAGAAGCTTGGGTTTGATCCAAAAACAGATCTATTTTGTTTCAATTTTATCTAGTTGAAGCCTCCCCATTCATTCTAAATAAGGTGGGGACAGAGTCCCCAGAATGCTTCTCCAATCTCATCAACTTGTGTAGAAAGTAACCTTTGGCTTTGAGCCAAGGATTGCTATCATTTCATTTTGCTTTGATATCATGGCACTAAGTCCTTACGAAGAGGCCTAAATCACAGAACAGAGTTACATTCCACTGAGGGGGCAGATGGATTCAAAGCTCTAACTGCTCAGTACTTGGTGTACCATTCAGATATGCAGTGGGAACAGCAACCTACACTCTGACTTAGAACTCTGTTATTGAGGGAAGACAAGATTACCACTCTTAACAAAATAAAGTCACTTTACTCAGAATGCAGCATTATATAAAGAACTATAGAACGTCATAAAAGAGGTAGAAAAAAATTACCTTCTAACAATTCCTCAAAGTCATCAACAAAGAATTCCCGTAATGGTGGCCGCTTCGGTCGTTTAAGAGTATTAACAAGCTGCTGAATTTTTGCTGATACCCGACTACTTACTGGTACACCTGAAAAATAGGAACCACAGTGTTAATAATATTAATAAAAAAATAAAAAATAAAAAAACTCTGGAAAAAATAAGAGAACATATGAAAAAAATTCCCAAATAACAATACTTTTGTTTCCTGTAGTAGGAATATAGCATAAGGCCTTATCCATGCTAGAAAAAGTGTTAAAGCGCTGATCTGTACCCTCATCACATCAAACAAATTTTTTGTCTTAAAATACACTTTTAGAACAGAAAAATAATTATAACTCTGAAAACATGTAAAAATAGCCATAACTCTCAATATCTAAACATAGTATTGTCTCATCAATTAGTTCCAATCAATTTGGTTCAGATGAATCCAAGACCAGCGATTTAGAAGCGTAGGTGCGAATGTTAGTAAAGACCCTGGGTGTGACTGAAGTGAGGGTGTGTAGAGTAGGAACACTGGACTACATACAGTAGTCAGGATTTATCCAGTTCTGACAGATATTTAATTCAGAACCTTGCCATATTTCAAAGATGACAAAAGTATTAAAAATAATGACAAGAATAATATCAATAATCAGTTTCAACAATGGTTATATTGTAGAACTAGCCAACTCGGTATGATAGAAGGACAGCCAATTCTGTAAGAAATAGGATGGCTATCGTTTTAATGTATATTTATGAATAAGAAATATTAGAATCTCAGGTGTGGAAGATACAATGGAAGGAATCTATGTATCCATCAAAGAAAATAATAAATCTAAAAAATTACTGACACAAACCATCCAAGGAATCCAAGACAACATAAAAAAACAAAACCTAAGGATAATAGAATAGAGAAAAAAGAAGATTCCCTCCTCCAACGCCCAGAAAATATTTTCAACAAAATCATAGAAGAAAATTTCCCCAACTTAAAAGGGAGGCCTATAAGAATACAAGAGTCCTACAGAACCCCTAATAAATTAGACCAGAAAAGAAAATCCTCCCGTCACACAATAATCAAAACAGTAAGTATACAGAACAAAGAAAAAATACTAAAAGCTACAAGGGAAAAAGACCAAGTAACATATAATGGCAAACCCATCAGAATCACACCTGACTTCTCAACAGAAACTATGAAAGCCAGAAGAGCCTAAGAGAACATGCAGACCCTAAGAGAACATAGATGTCAGCCTAGGCTACTGCACCCATCAAAACTCTCAGTCCTCATAAACGAAGAAAACAGGATATTCAACGACAAAAACAAATTTCAACAATACCTACATACAAATCCAGCATTACGAAAGATACTAGAAGGAAAAATACAACCCAAGAAAACTAACTACTTTCAAGAAGAGAGAGGAAATAAATAACCTCCGTACAGCAAAACAAAAAGTAGCCAAACAAACAAACAAATTACCACAGCCAACATCAATATCAAGGGATCTAACAGCCACTGCTCATTAATCTCCCTCAATACCAATGGACTCAATTCTCTAATAAAAAGACACAGACTAACAGAATGGATGCGTAAACAAGACCCAACAATCTGTTGCATACAAGAAACACACCTAAATTACAAAGATAGACATTACCTGAGAGTAAAGGGATGGAAGATGGTTTTCCAAGCAAATGGACCCAAGAAGCAAGCAGGAGTAGCCATTCTAATATCTAATAAAGTAGATTTTCAACCAAAATTAATCAAAAGAAATAGAGGACACTTCATGTTCATCAAGGGAAAAATCCACCAGGAAGACATCACAATCCTGAACATCTATGTCCCAAATGCAAGGGCACCCGCATTTGTAAAAGAAACTTTAATAAAACTTAAACCACACATAGATCTCCACACATTAATAGTGGGAGACTTCAACACCCCACTATCAACAAAGGACAGGTCAACAAAACAGAAATTAAACAAAGAAACAATAACTCTGACACAAGTCATGAATCAAATGGACCTGACAGATATTTATAGAACCTTACACCCAAAAACAAAAGAATTTACCTTCTTCTCAGCACCTCATGGAACCTTCTCCAAAATAGACCATATAGTTGATCGCAAAGCAAGCCTCAACAGATACAAGAAGATTGAAATAATCCCTTGTATTCTATCTGATCACCATGGACTAAAGTTGTACCTCAATGACAAAAATAGTAAAAGGCCTACACACCCATGAAAACTGAACAACTTGCTTCTAAATGACAGCTGGGTCAGAGAAGAAATAAAGAAATAAATTAAAGACTTCGTAGAATTCAATGAACATGAAGGCAAAACATACCCAAACTTCTGGGACACAATGAAAGCAGTGCTAAGAGGAAAGTTCATAGCACTAAGTGCCTTCAAGAAGAAATTCGACACATCGCATGCAAGCAACTTAATGGCTCACTTAAAAGCCCTAGAAAAAAAAAAAAAAGCAGACACACCAAAGAGGAGTAGACAGCTGGAAATAATCAAACTCAGGGCTGAAATCAATCAATTAGAAACAAATAAAACTATCCAAAGAATCAATGAAACCAAAAGCTGGTTCTTTGAGAAAATCAACAACATAGACAAACCCTTAGCCAAACTAACTAAAAGGCAGAAACTATCCAAATCAACAAAATCAAAAATGAAAAGGGGGACATATCCACAGACACTGCAGAAATCCAAACAATAATTAGGTCTTACTTCCAAAGTCTATATGCCACAAAATTTGAAAATCTAAATGAAATGGACAATTTTCTTGATCGATTATACATACCAAAGCTGAATCAAGACCAGGTAAACCAATTAAATAGTCCTATATCCCCTAAGGAAATAGAAGCTGTCATCAAAAGTCTACCATGCAAAAAAAGGCCAGGGCCAGATGTTTTCAGCACAGAATTCTACCAGAACTTCAAAGAAGAGCTAACACCAATACTCTTCAAACTATTCAACAAAATAGAAACTGAAGGAACACCACCAAACTCATTCTATGAAGCCACAGTCACCTTAGTACCTAAACCTCACAAAGACCCAACAAAGAAAGAGAATTTCAGGTCAATCTCCCTTATGAACACTGATGCAATAATACTCAACAAAATACTTGCAAACCGAAACCAAGAACACATGAAAGATATCATCCACTACAACCAAGTAGGCTTCATCCCAGGCATGCAGGGGTGGAAATCCATCAATGTGATCCACCACATAAACAAACTGAAGGAGAAAAACCACATGATCATCTCCTTAGATGCTGAAAAGGCATTTGACAAAATCCAACATCCATTCATGTTTAAAGTCTTATCAGGGATACAAGGCATACACCTGAACATAGTAAAGGCAATATACAGCGAGCCTATAGCAAATATCAAACACAATGGAGAGAAACTTAAATCATTCCCACTGAAATCAGGGACAAAACAAGACTGTCCACTCTCTCCGTATCTCTTCAACATTGTTCTTGAAGTCCCTGCTAGAGCAATAAGACAATGGAAGGAGATCAAGGGGATACAAATTGGAAAGAAAGAAGTCAAAATATCACTATTTGCAGATGATATGATAGTATACCTGAGTGACCCCAAAAATCCTACCAGGGAACTCCTACAGCTGATTATCACCTTCAGCCAAGTGGCTGGATACAAAATAACTGAAAAAAAAAATCAGTAGCCCTCCTGTATACAAAAGACAAAAGGACTGAGAAAGAAATTAGGGAAACAACACCCTTCACAATAGCCACAAATGACATAAAGTACCTTGGTGTAAACCTAACCAAGCAAGTCAAAGACTTGTATGAAAAATATTTCCAGTCTCTGAAGAAAGAATTACAAGAAGATATCAGAAGATGGAAAGATCTCCCATGCTCATGGCTTGGCAGCATTAATATAGTAAAAATGGCCATTTTACCAAAAGCAATCTACAGATTCAATGCAATTCCCATCAAATTACCAACACAATTCTTTACAGACCTTGAAAGAAAAATTCTCAACTTCATATGGAACAACAAGAAACCCAGAATTGCTAAAACAATTCTCTACAGTAAAAGGTTTTCAGGAGGTCAAGCTGATCTCAAGCTGTACTATAGAGAAACAGTAATAAAAACTACATGGAACTGGCATAGAAACAGACTGGTGATCAATGGAATCAAATAGAAGACCCTGACATAAATCCCCATGCTTATGGACACCTGATTTTTGACAAAGATGCCAAAACCATTCAATGGAAAAATGACAGCATCTTCAACAAATGGTGCTGGTCTAACTGGAAGTCTACATGTAGAAAAATGCAAATAGATCCATACTTATCATCCTGCACAAAACTAAAGTCCAAGTGGATGAAAGGCCTCAACATAAAACCAAACATACTAAACCACTTAGAAGAAAAATTGGGGAAGACTCTTGAACTCATTGGCACAGGAGACAATTTCCTGAACAGAACACCAACAGCACAGGCTCTAAGAGCAACAATCAATAAATGGGACCTCATGAAACTGAAAAGCTTCTGTAAAGCAAAGGACACTGTCGACAGAACAAAACGACAGCCTACAGATTGGGAAAGGATCTTCACCAACCTGACTGAGGACTAATATCCAGTATATATAAAGAACTAAAAAAGTTAAACAGCAAAAAATCAAGTAATCCAATTAAAAAATGAAGTACAGAGCTAACCAGAGAATTCTCAATAGAGGAATATCGAATGGCAGAGAAACACTTAAAGAAATGCTCAACCTCATTAGCCATCAGGAAAATACAAATCAAAACGACCCTAAGATTTCACCTTACACCCATCAGAATGGCTAAGATCAAAAACTCAAGGGACAACACATGCTGGAGAGGTTTTGGAGAAAGGGGAATCCTCCTCCACTACTGGCGGGAATGTAAACTTGTACAACCGCTCTGGAAAGCAATCTGGCGCTTTCTCAGACAACTAGAAATAGTGCTTCCTCAAGATCCAACTATACTACTCCTAGGCATATACCCAAAAGTCTCAAGTACACAATAAGGACATTTGCTCAACCATGTTTGTAGCAGCCTTATGTGTAATAGACAGAAGCTGGAAACAGCCCAGATGCCCCTCAATAGAGGAATGGATGCACAAATTGTGGTATATCTACACAATGGAATATTACTCAGCAATAAAAAAACAAGGAAATCATAAAATTTGCAGGTAAATGGTGGAATCTGGAAAAGATCATCCTGAGTGAGCTATCCCAGAAGCAGAAAGATGCACACAGTATATACTCACTCATATAGACATATAATATAGGATGAACCTACTAAAATCTGTACACCTAATGAAACTAATCAAGAGGGAGGACTCTTGCTAAAATCTTCAATTCCTATCCAGAAAGGCAAAGAGGCTGGACATCAGAAGAAGGAGAAAAGAGGGAACAAGTCAGGAGCCTGACACAGAGGACCTTTGGAAAGGCTCTGCCCTGAAGACTATCAATGCAGATGCTGAGACTTATAGGGAACCTTTGAGCAGAGTGTAGGGAATCTTATGAAAGAAGTGTGAAACAGTAAGATCTGGAGAGGACAGGAACTCCACAAGGAGAGCAACAGAACCAAAAAATCTGAGCACAGGGGTCTTTCCTGAGACTGCTATTCCAACCAAGGACTATGCATGGAGATAACCTAAGACCCCTGCACAGATGTAGCCCCGGGCAGTTCAGTATCCAAGTAGGTTCCATTGTAATAGGAAAAGGGACTGTCTCTGACATGAACTGATTGGCCTGCTCTTTAATTACCTCCCCCTGAGGGGGAAGCAGCATTACCGGGCCACAGAAAAAGACAATGCAGCCACTCCTGATGAGACCTAATTCACTAGGATCAGAAGGAAAAGAAGACCTTCCCTATCAGTGGACTTTGGGAGGGGCATGCATGCAGAGGGTGGAGGAAGGGAGGGATTGGGACAGGAAGAGGGAGGGAACCACAGGGGGGATACAAAGTGAATAAAGTGTAATTAATAAAGAATTAAAAAAAAATTCCAGTATGGGCTGGAGAGATGGCTCAGCTGTTAAAGGCTAGCCTCACCACCCAAACTCCAGTTGTATTATGTAAATGTAGCTAGAAGTTCAATGCTACTGCTAAAAAACATTGGGTTGACATTGATTAAGCTACTGGTAGATATGTTGGCAGATTCTTAATTTGTGTAGTGGTTTGAAAACAATGGTTCCCAATAGGTTCCCGAAAATGGTAAAAGAAAGAAAACCTGAGGCATTTTTCTCCACCTAAAAAAGCTTCAACAAGTCAAAGCTTATGCAAATATAATTCAAATAGGAGCCAGATTCCAGAAAACAGCAGGCAGCAATATTGGGAACTTCAGCCAATTGGTTCTGGCTTTATCAAAGCATATACAGGACAAAGGGGGTTGTAAATCTTCTTCCAATGATAAAGAAAATCATTAAGGCCAGGAATGTGTCAGAAGTGTCTGGAGGCCCAGAGCTATGAAAGTGTAGCCTATATTGCACTGAAGACTCCAAAGTAATGGGATGTCTGCTGAGGAAAACTTCACATATGAAGTAGAAACAGTACAGGAGAGAGATGTATGTTGCATGCCACAAAGCTGGGAGAAGTACAACATCCAAATAGTCCTTTGATGTTAGATGCAGAGTTAGAAGATTTGTAGTTTGCCTTGTAGTATTGTGATTTTGCTTTAGTTCAGTGTTTTCAACCATGCTCTCGTTCCTCCCTTTTGGGGCAGTTATCTGAAGGTGGGAACTGGTACAGTCTGCATTAAAATTGTGTTTTATTCTCGATCTGGAGAAATAAATAACCTATGTGTGTTCTTTGTAAGAACAATTGTGGATGAAAAAAATAATCAGAAGTACTAGAAAAAAATCAGTATCATACTTGAATGACCTAATGTTGACTATACTTACTATACAAAAGAACTTAATGTAATAAATTAGAAACTGGAGGAAACAAAAAAACCACCACCAACAACAAAAAACAAATATTAGAACTTTAACCATGCTGAAGACAGTATGCTGCTTATTAAAGATGTGGCCAGAGCTAGATATTTAATTGTGAACCACCTAGTTATCACGGCAACTTCAATAAACACCATAAGGTACATGGACTGTGGCATGTTGGTATTGTTTTGCTCATTTTTCATAAAATAAAAAGTTTAATTTTACTGGCAAATCCTATGCTAACTTTTATGACCCTCGCAGGAATAAAACACAATTAAAATAGAATACAGCAGAAAGTTCATATCTGAGGCTTGCGAATTTGTACTGAATACTGGGCACTACTCATATTACTAAAAGTCATCAAGATTAAAAGTATGCAGACGAGGAGAAACCTTTCAGTCTGTATTTTATCAAAGCCATGACGATAACCCTGTAAATGACTTTGTTTTTCTATTTAAGTTCATTTTCCTCTGAAGTAGCTATTCAAGTTCTTAACACTTGTACTGTAATTTCTTAAAGACTCTAATGACTCAACCAACATTAGTTAGACATTAGGAAAATCATTAGCACTGAATTAAATCTTTTTCTTCTCATGGATAAATTACTGCAATATTTACATTCTGTTTTTATAAGGAGAAGTTCTTACACAATTTGGAGATAACTTAATTTTTCAGTCAGGTCACCTTTTAAGAAAGTTCCTGAAAAAACTGATATGGAATGAATATCTAGAAGTAGCACATTCACTCAAAAAGGCCAATTGTCATAGTAAGGACAGAAGCATAAAGTTCACGCAGGAGGAAGCAGCTCACTATAAGACATACCATCCCCAGTCTCCATGAGCTCAGCATTGCCATACTTTGGTGCTGTCCGGGATGTGGTAGAGCCCTGCGGCCTTTCCACTTGTATTGAGTGTTCTGAGGTGTATGTTGTTACATCAGGAGGTGCAGAATGATTTTCTGTAAAGAAGCACAGGAGACAATTTTCTGGTGAACCTCATGGTTACTCCGAAGCCTAAGTAATAGGGCCTCAACAATGTTTAGAAAGTGACAAACTTACACAAAAGGATTGCTTTGACCCAACACGGTGACACAAACCTGTATTTATAACATTTGAAAGCAGATACAATGAAGATCCTAAGTTTTGAGGCCAGCCTAGGCCTATATATGAAAAGGTCATGCCTTAGAGAACAAAAAAGAAGAAAGATCACTCTAAACCAAAGTTGGCCACAGAACTCCCTAAACAAAAGTGATTAATTTTAAGGTAATTTAAGATTAATTTAAGATAAGACAATATATGCCATCTCTAGAGAAAAACAGGTAAAATATTCTGATTTTATTTTCTAACAAGAGTAAGATCAATGAATCACTGTAGCATTTTAACCAGAGTAATGTCTCACATAACCAAAGAATCACATATTATGAGCTAAGTATTTGTTCATAGAAGACACATTTTTTTCTGTGACAACAGTGGCAACAAATAACTCAAGTTTTAACCCAGAGTGCCTAAGACTTAAAGGACAACATTGTTGATACCAGGAGATCCTGGAAAGCATTTAATCTCTCTGTGCTTCTTTTCCTACCTGTCAAATTGAAGCAATAATCATGACCCTCTTAGAGATTGGGTAGATGCAACAAATTAATACATGCAAAATTCTCATGATAGTCCTGGTAAATGGTGAGAGGCATCAAGAAATAGTTATCTATTTTAATTAAAACACGAATAATCCTAAATAGTAGCTCAAAAGCTTATAATCTAATATGTATTAAGTGTCATGCCATGGCTATCTTATTTGGGGTTATTATTGCTGTGATGAAATATCTTGACCTAAGAAACTTGGGGAAGAAAGGGATTATTTGGCTAACACTTCTATAGCATTGTTCATCATCAAATAATTGAGAATAGGCACTCAAAAAAGGAGAAATATGGAGGCAGGAGATGATACAGAAGCCATGGTGGGGTGCTGCTTATATCCCTTGGATTGCTCAATCTGCTTTCTTATAGAATCCAGGATGACCAGCCCAGAGACCATTTTGGGTGGTGCCTTCCCTCATCAATCACTAATTAAAAGAATGCCCTACAGTCCAATCCTGTAGAAACATTTTCTTAAATGAGGTTTCCTCCTCTTAGATGACTTTAACTTGTGTCAACTTGTAATAAAACTATCCAGTACACATGGCTAAGGAACTGTGCAAACCTCCCCTACAGGGTTCAGAGTTAAGCTCTTAAATGGTTAAATAGTAATAGAACAACTTTTGAAATTATTAAGGCATCAAGAAAACCACATCAAGAGATGATCAATGAATTATACATATGTTAGTTCTAACAGTGCATATCAGAATGCATTTTGATTCATTAAGGCATGTTACATGGAAACCTTAGATTGCTTCCTTTATACAGCTCAATGTTAAAAGTATATAGTTTTGGGCTATTGAAGGTGACTGTCTTAGTCACTGTCCTATTGCTGTGGCTATGACACCATGACCAAGACACTCTTACAAAAGAAATCATTTAATTGGGGGCTGGCTTAATTTCAAGCTTAGTCTATTATTATCATAACAGGAACACAGGAGCAAGCATGGTGCTAGAGGAGTACTAGAGAGCTTCACCTTGAGCTGCAGGCAGGGAGAGTGCACCTCCCTGGCCCAGCACAGGCTTTTGAAACCTCAAAACTCACCCCTCAGTGACACAGTTCCTCCAACAAGGCCATACATCTTAACCCTTTTTTTTCTTTTTAAAAAATTATTATCATTTATTACAATTTATTTAATTTGTATCCTGACTATGGCCCCCTCCCTCATCTCCTCTCTAGTCCACCCTCCCTCCCTCTTCTTCCCCTATGCTTCTCCCCTAGTCCACTGATAGGGGAGGTCCTCCTCCCTTTCTATTTGACCCTAGACTATCAGGTCTCATCAACAGTGTCACTCTCTGGTAACCAAGCACTCAAATATATGAGCCTATGGAGGCCATTCTTACTCAAACTACCACAGTGATATCCATACAGAAAAATCTTTTTTCTTTGCCCACTTTAACTTTATAGTAAGCTTCTGTTTCATACAAGCTTGAACCAATAAACACTCAAAAACACCACATAGGAAAACATGGCATCAAACAAGCTTTAAAAAGATATACTTTTATAGTCAGAGAACTAAACTAAGGAGGTGAAGGCTACCCTGTTGGACCTTAGATACAAATGTACACTTCAGGCAACAAGAGTTTTGGGATTCTGCATGTTCATGAATGACAGAAAGCGCTCCACTCTTTGGAGGGGTATTACAAATAAATTTTGTCAAGTAGGCAAAATACACAAATATTAAACATGTGGATAAGAACTAAATTTCTACAGAAATTACCTTGCACATACTATGCAACACTGTTGGAGAAAGACTGGTAGCTGGGAGGGAGTAGTCTGCCTTCCTGAGAAAGCTTCAAATGGACAACCGTGGAGCCCTTGATTCCAAATCCTTGAACAAGAGGTTTGAGAAATATGCAAAGGACTGAATCACATGGGTCTAAGCTCTGTAATCAAGCTTCCATGCCTTTGTTTCCTATTTTATAAAATGGAGGGGACACCTCGCTTATACTCACCTGTACAGTGGGAGGGAAGGAAATACACATACACCAGTGCTGTACTTCATTATCATTGCATACACACACTTGTACTGGAGGAGAGATTCTCAACAGTGTGCCATTCTATGACGTACACAGGCACATTCAACAGCCAGTTATATTCAGTTGGTATTTGAGGCTTGAATCATGGGATGGTTTGTAGAGTCAAAGGTGGTAATACACTCCTAAACAGACTATTCACCATGTTTCTTCCTAAGAGTAACTGCTCTTTCATGGTCTGAATTCTCAGCTTGCAGTCCAATTCTCAGTACATCAGAATGTGGCTATATATTTAGGGTGAGGTATTTAGAAGATGGTTACATAAAAAAACAAAGCTATTGGCATCCCATTATAACTGATAGCCTCATCAGAAAGTGAGATCAGGCCAGAGAGATGACTCAGTGAATTACTGAGGAAGTCTGATGACATCGTTATTATATCTGGAGCCCCCAAGTGGGAAAGAGACAACAGACTTCCTCAAGTTGTCTTCTGACCTCCACGTATGTTCCATGGTGTACATGTACTCTCAATATGCATATCCAACAAACCAACAAACAAGCAATCCACAAGCAAATAAATATTTTGTAAAGGAAGGAAGAAAAAAGGAAGGAAAGAAGGAAGAAACAAGGAATGAATGAATGAATGAATGAATGAATGAATGAATGAATGAATGAA